GTTCCTCAATTTTGTTGGGAAGTGAGCGCACGTTAGAGAGAAATATTCCAGGTAACGGTGTTCGTAGTCCACGCTGGCGAAGACGTACCAGCACCCCAGCCCGTTTCCCTCTCTTCCGGCGTTTCACCGCGTGAGCAAAGGTGAGCGCACCTTTGACCAGAATGTCCAAAAATTCCAGAGCAGTAGGCAGAAAAGTGGGAAATAACTCCTCTGGTGTAGTAGCCCTGATGTTCATGAGTTCTTCTCTGGTGAGAGAGCTCCGGGTACCATCACAGAAGACCGTTTTAAAGCAAAAAACAAAACAAAACAATGCGCACCAACATGCCGAGGCGACCATCTGCGGCGCCCTCTTAAGCAACAACTCTTTAAAACACCACGATATGTAAAGTAGAAAATCTGTCGGACTCTGAGGGGGGTTGCACGGGCGGTGCAGTTGGTAGCACTATTTCCATGCAACAAGAAGACCCTGGGTTCAAATCCCGGCCTGGGTCTTTCTTTATGGAGTTTGCATGTTCTCTCCATGCATGCATGGGTTTTCTCCAGGTCTCGCCCAATGACTGCTGGGAACAGGCACAAAACAAACCCCCCACTCCCCACCTGCAACCCAGCAAAGACAACTGGGTATAGACAATAGATGGATGGATTTATGACTAAGAAAGAACCAAAAATGTTTCATCATTGGGCCTGTCGGGATAAAGATCCAAAACATCTGGACATCAACACAGAAATGGTTCAAGAGAAACAAAATCTATCTTCTCCATGGCCGTCTCAGCCAGCAGAACCCCTTTATGCTCAAACATGGTGAAATGTCACAGAAGCTGAAAGCAAAAGAGGCAATATACAAAGTATTAAGCAGGGGAACCAATAACTGGGGCAATTGAGGTTTAGTACAAATAATTATTTCCTAAAGTTGGATTTGTTTTTACACCATTGAGTAAATGTACTCAAATTATAGTTTGGATTTTTCTAAATTTTTCAGTGTGACTTTATGCTACTACAAGAAAAGATGAATTTACTTTATGACTTTTAGCGCAGGAAGTACAGAGAAAGCAGTAAAACTAGGAATAAAATCATGGTGTTTAGTTCTCATTTAGTCTAAAGGCCAATAAATACTCAATAAATACAAGAACAGGGAAATTTGTCGTCTCTCCCAGAGAGAACAAAATGATGTCTGTTCTTACAGCTTCTTCAACTACTGGGTGATTGAACAGTTCCCTATGAGAACTTCCCACGAGTTCTGCACTCTGACGTACGAGACGTCTCGGCCCGAAATAACTTCTTGCCACCTTGGAGAAAAGAAGAACGCAGGCCTTAAAGCAACTAACAGAGACTGTTGTAATTACATTATGGTACTTGGGACATAAGTTTCATTTGAAATATACTGATGTATAAGTTCATCTGGATGGATTCAGATCCATCAGAGCTTTAAAAAACCAAACATTAAATAGCAAACGTTTAAACCAAAATGCAGGTAATGTTTTGCTTGTCAGATGTGTCTGCAAAAGATGAGGACTTTACCTTGGTTAAAGAGTAATAACTGAAATGTTTTTCAAATATTACACACAGGCTTTAAGCAGCAGAGGTTAGAAAGCAAAGAAAACCATCATGACCATCTCCAGAAGCTGATGGAAAAAGAAGCCAGCTCGATTATCCGTTTTATGTCCTGTTGTAAAGCTGAATCTAATTTATATCTACATTCTGTGATCCACTGTTAAACAGCTGTAGTTTCAGTAAAATTTTTACAGCTTGATCTTGTTCCATTTCTTCCTGCCTGTAATGACTTTATTGCCCGTAATGCCGATTCATTTTTCTTAAAGCCAAGTTTCAGCGTGTTCCATTTATTTCAGCAGCAGGAGGGACGGTTGCATCATTGCTTGTTCAAGGAAAATGTTCAGCCTTTCTCGGTTAGATGCATGACCAGACACCTAAACAACTACAGCTTTAATTAGCCGAGGAAATATGATTTGTCTCCTCGATAGTTACTCCTCAAAGGGAAAATGGGAGACCCAGCAGCCACTCAATTACCCGACCGAGAGAAAAGGGAGAGGCGGCTCGGCTGATGGACTGTGCAGTAAATCAAACTGAGAGATTTCAGTGTTTAGACAAAAGGGAAGGCAGGGAGGGTTTTCGTTTTAGATTTTATGACATGCTGGGCTAAAATAAATCTATATGAAGGGATAAACGGACATCTCCAGGGACAGAAAGGGGAACAACATAAATATGAACATTTTTCACTTTGTTTAAGCATCATTTTTATAAGCAAACCCTGGAGCTGAGGATTATATGTAAATTAGGAGACAGGTGTGACACATTCTGGGTGATTACAAGCCGTGATGATTAATAGTAACCATTTATTTTCTCTTTAAAAGGCTCAGCAGTAGGTTGAGATTGCTAGAAGGGATGAAGTATGGTGAGTGTGACAGAGAGAAGAGGCAAATATTATGTAAAATTTAGATATTGGAAAAGTTATCTGAATTATCAGTGAGGTCAGAGCTGGCTGATTTTTATTTGAACAACAAACTGCAGAGAGTTAAACCTTATAAACACAGATTAAACCTTTACATTAGGCCTAGATTTCACTAAGCTCTGCAAAAACAACAGGATCTCTTAGACACACAGTGTCCTGAACTTCTACCAGCCCCTGCAAATCATCCTGAAAACACCATCCTCACTGTGAACCATGGTGGCGGTAGCATTATGCTATGGGGATGATTTTCTTCAGCATGGACAGAGAAGCTGGTCAGAGTTTATTAGAAGATGGATGTAGCAAAATAAAGGCATTATTGGAAGGAAACCTCAGACCTGAGTCTTAAAAAGACTTTAGTCTGAGGAGAAGGTTCACTTTCCTGCAGCAGAGTTTTAACATCAATGCATACATTTACTTGTTAGGGCCTAGTCAAATCTTAGTCTGTTGCTGTGCTAATCTGGTAGAAACAAACCTTAAAATCTGGACTATTTTTTGACTGAATCAAATAAAATATAATTTCAATGAAAAGGAATATGATAAGCAGGTTACAAGTTATACATCCATCCATGCATCCATCCATCCATCTATACCTGCTCGTCCATGCAACGTTGGGTGGAGTTGTAGCCTATCTCCAGCAGTGATTGGGTGAGATTGGGTGCACCCTGGATAGGTTGCCAGTCCATCACAGAGCAACTCAGAGACACGCAGGCCAAACAACAACAACTAAGAACCATTTAGATGAACCAGTTAGCCTTACAGTCACATTTTTGGACTGTTGGAGGAAGGGTCAGGGAACCTGGAGAGAACCCTTGCATGCTCGGGGAGAACCGACGGGAGCAAACCCTGTCAGTCACCACGAGGACAAGTTCCAAGTTCCAGGTGGGGGAGCAATAATACTGGACTTCATTGTCAGGATGTGATTAGGTGTCAAAGGTTCCGGAGCAGATGGGTTATGTAAATGTTCTGTTGTCAATGGCCTGTTTACAACTGCCATAACCTCGTAGACGTTCTTAAACAGCAGGTTCTTAAAGAACTGCTGTCAAGTCTTCTATCCGACTGGTCAAGGATGGGTGAAAGGACATTACGTACAGTTCATATTTGCCGTTCCCAAAGGCCACCTTGATGACTTGCAGATGGAGTATTCATAATGAACTCGCATCCAAAGTTTTTGAGTTTCTCTCCATCCATCTCCTTCATAGCTTCAGCAAACTCACGCCTTGCACCCATAAAGTTGCTGCCTTGATCACAGCGAAGCTGTCTGGCACTTCCACGCAATGCAATGAATGAGCACAGAGCATTGATAAAGGCATCCGTACTCAAGTCGCTGAGCATCTCAATATGTATGGCTCTGGAGCACATGCATGTCAGCAAAAGTCCATAACGTTTTAGCTCCTTCCTTCCCTCCTTAATATAGATGGGTCCAAAGCAGTCCATCCCACAGTATGTAAAGGGTGGAGTCAACTCCGCACGCTCTTGTGGGAGGTCTGCCGTTGTTCTTCAGTGCTGCGTCTATACTTTCTGCACCTTGGGCAGTTGTAAATATGTGAAGATACTGTCTTACTGCATCCAAGAATCCAAACACCATTGGCTCACAGTTCACTGACAGTCATACCCTGTCCCTGGCGTTGCACTCTTTCATGATAATGCTTGATAAGTGTTGACAAATGACTTTCTTTGGGAAGGATAGCTAGGTGTTTCATATGAGGGTGAAGACAGGAGTGGGTTAAACGCCCTCCGACCCTTAGCACACCCTGCTTTGTGCAATTTCTTTGTCTTGTCAGTTGCTTTGATTTGTCCATTTTGCTTACGACTCATTGTGTCCTTAGGGAAGTGCATGGCTTGAACCAGTCTTATAAGAAAAACTTCTGCTTCCTTACGTTCTTCCAAAGTTGTAGGTTCGTTGGATTTTAGTTTCTGGCCCTTTGCTTTACGTTTCAGTGTGGCTACCGTCCGGACTGCTCTTGTCCAGTCTGAAAACCTTTGAAGACGATCAAGTAGCGACCTCTCTTCCCTTGATTGAATGTTGTGGACATGAGTCTTTCGTAGTTCTGGGTCATTTTCTGGAATCTCTCCCACCATAACCACTCTACTTGGTAAGTGTAGTTGCCACAGAAAATCTGTCCCTCTAAACCAGTTAGATGTCTTTAACTGTACGGCTGTCAGTCCCCTAGAATAGTGGTCAGCAGGATTGTCTTCTGAGGCAACATAGTTACATTGGTCCGGATGAGTGCTCTGCTTAATACGCTGAACACGATTTGCTACAAAAACGTGAAAACTCGATGGCTCACTCCAATAACATCTCCACCATCTATGTATGGGCTGCCATATCCAAAGATACTCCATCCTAAGTCCGATCTCTGTGCAAATGGTTGATTTTCTTCACCAGACATCACTTCTCTTGGAAGAAGAGCTTGTGAGTAGTTGTAGCCAATTAGTAAGCCAACCTTGCAACTTTGAGGAAGTGCTAACTTATCAGCAATGTGCTCAAGATGAGGCCATGCCCTAGCTGTCTCTGATGTAGGGAGATGATCTCTATTTGCAGGAATGAATTTCCTTGTGTAAGCTGTCGGAAGAGTTATTTTCTTCTCTGAATTGAATCCTCTGACTTGCAACCCAGAGAGCTTTTGGCATGCTACAACAGTGGTCTTAGAGGCCATGGTAGATAACTTGAGTTTGACTTGTTCGCCTTTTGCCTTTAGAAAACGCGTTGTTTCTTTAAGAATGAAAGCTGTGTCACTTTGTGTATCAAGGAGTGCATAAACGAGTGTTTCTTTGTCAGGCTCCTTTGTTGCTGAAACCCACACAGGAATGATTGCAGATGTCTGAGTACTGGTGTTGTCATGCTGAACTCTGTTGCCTCACTTATTTGTCTTGGTCCATCTTCTTCTACTGGTTCGTTTATTTTCCTGCAGCTATCTCCTTCCTTTATTCTTTCAAACCTTTGTGACTTCTGTTCTCTTCGATCTTCATGTAAGCAAGTTGGGTGCCTTTTCTGGCACGTGCTGCATGTATTTCTATTCTTAC